ACTAAGGATGACAGAAGAAGAATCAATGCGTTTGAGTTGTGGTACTGGAGAAGAGTCTTGAACATACCATAGACCACCAAGAAAAAAAGTAGGTCTCTCTTGGAGAGGATGAAACCAAGATTCTTCTTGGAGGCTAGGATTTTGAAGTGCCATCTTACATACTTTGGGTGCTGGAGAAGGACATCTTGCTTGGAATGGTGGAGGGACAGCACAGGAGAAGAAACCCTGGATGAGATGGATTGAGATAGTAACTGGAGTAAGAAGGGTAGGTGGGTCAGAGTCAGTGAGACTGGCTCAGGACAGGGCAGGTTTAAGAGCTGTTGTACACAGGGTCGCTGTGAGTCACAGGCAACTTGATGGCACATAACAACAACAATATTAACTGGATACATAAAGAGATGGTTCCTGGCGGTTAACACACTCAACTGCTAGCCAAAAATTTTAGAAAATTTGAATCTATATAGAAGTGCCTCAGAAGAAAAGTCTGGAAATCTATTCCTGAAAAAGTCACTGAAGATATTATGGAGCACAGTTCCACCCTGACAGTGTCAGAGTTTCCATGAGGTGAAGCTGTCATAACAGCAACTTAAAAAAAAAAAAGTAGTATATACTACATCTTTTCCATATGCAAATTGTATATTCCTTTATTTCATATATATTCAAATTTGGAACTTTTTCTCAGTTTCCATTTTATATCTCAATCTTTTTTAATGTTTCCATACTTATAAATTTTCACTAAACCGAAAATAGGTGTTAAGAGGTGCCATCTAGTTGTGTACAACTCATAACGACCCCATGAACAACAGATCTGAATCCTATCCCTGCCCTCATTATCTCTGATATACTTGAGCCAAATAAGCCTTTTACTCTTTATAACATTGAGAGGTCTGGTGGCTTAGTGGTAAGGAAGTGTGCTGCCAACACAAAGGTAAGCAGTTAAAAATCCATCAGCTGCTCCGCAGGAGAAAGATGGGCAATCTCCTCCTTTGTGATTTATTGCCTCTGAAAACCCACTGGAGTGTCAGCTATGGATCAGTTTTAACTAAAAGGTACACAAGATCACAACTAACTTTAAACTTTTAATCTTGCAGAATAAGTACTCTTGGTGGGACAGTGTTTACATGCTCAAATGTTAACTTAAAAGCCCATAATTTGAACCCACCAGTGTCTGTGAGAGAGAAAAGATGTGGCCATCTGCTTCCTTCAAGATTTACAACTCTGGAGATCCTGTGGGCAGTTCTACTCTCTCCACGGGCTGCTAAGAGTTGGCATCTACTCAATGGCAATGGGTATAGGTTTAATCATATAGGCAATTTAACTTACTTTCCTTTATATCTTTTTAATTTTTAAATAATAGGTAGAAACCATAATAGTAAAACTTTCTCACTGAAAGTGAGAGGAAGATGGGGAACATCAGTGTCATCCCCATCTTCAGCTTCTTCAGTAAGTTCCCTAATCCACTCTCAACTGAAAAGGAAGCTCTGATTACCTAGTGGTAAGAAGCTGTGCTGCAATGCCAAAGGCACGTGGTTCAAATGCACCAGCTGTTTCACAGAAGGATGGACCATCTCCTCCAGTGCAATTAACTACCTTTGAAAACTGATTGGAGGGTCAGTGATAGGTTGATTCAAACTCAATGGTTACACACAAGTGAACTGAAAACTGTAACCCTGGGAGGGATTTCAAACTCCAGGATCATCATCTCACTACATTTGAAGCAGGTTTTAGTGATATACCTGATTCATCTTATTATCCAGTCTTTATGAAAAATTCCATTCTGAACTACAAACAGGAAAATGAGATGACCGCCTAGGTTCTTATACTATTGAAGGGAAGATCATTTTGAGGCTTATTAAAACACATTTTTTTTAATTGCCATAAATTTTCTGGTCCCCAGCCTCCTTTGGCTCTTTATTACTGCAGTATTAGACCACTGACTTGAAAACACAAGATGAATAGTCACTAAGGTTTTCAGCAGCATCACCTGTTTAAAGGCTGCTCCTGCCAGTGAACTCCCCTCAGGCTCCTGCAGACTCTTCTCAGTAGGAGGGTTAATCTGAAGGTACAGTTCACCCAATTTTTGTATGAACCATTTACATTCTCTTCACAAATCCAGTGGCTTATTAAGCTTGGTATTTTTTTTTTTTTTTTTTATCAAGGGTAAACTTGAGCTTCTCAGTTTCCTCCCTGGTCAGAGGGCTGGGTGGGCCTTCTGCAGCTTCTGTGTTAGGGAAGGGACAAAGCTGTAACTGTTGGTAAAAATTCAGAATGAAAGCCAGGACCAACATTAAAATACACCTGTCTCATTCTAGAATGAAAGTTAGTTGTTAAGAGGTACGAGGCAGCTGGAAATAGGCGTTTGTTATGTGTGTTATTCTTCTTACTATTATCCTGACATTTCTTCTGTCTTCTAGTCCCTCAAATACACTCCTACAATCTTGAACATTATTGTATGAATCTTGATTTAATTATATAGAATGTTCTTTAGTGATTATATCACAGATTCACTCTATTATTTTTGTTTTATGCTATTAAATAGATGCTCACTCACAGACACGCCATGTGAAAAGAGCGGAGCTGCCTTGGAAGATCTTTTGGACTGAAGTTGATCACTAGGTATTTTTCCCTCAGAGCCACCAGTGAGACAAAACCACCAGCCTTCTGTTTAGCAGTTGTGTATCTAACGGCGATGCCACCAGAGTGTCTTCCACTCTACTTACTGACACAACCAACGGGCAGGAATTTGGTGCCAAAGGTAGAGAGTTATTAACTATCATGAAGATGAACTAGCACTCAAAATGTTATTAAAAGTCACATATTTCTTTTATTTTAACTCACACATACTTAATACTAATGAAGTAAATCAGGAGTAAAACATAATGCATGCACACACAGGAAGGAATCAGCTGAAAACAGTAAGAAATGAGTTTCTGGATTTGTACACTTGTTCAGTGTCTTGAGAAAAAGCTGGCCCCAAGTAAACAACTTCTTTTCTTCTAACCCGTATTTTAAAATAAATAAATAAAGAAAGAAACACAAAAACAAGTGTTGATGGTAGGTCTACACCATTTTCGTACATCTAGGGGAGAAGGCAGTAAATAAAGTTTCTGCAACCATAAGTGATGCTTAGAGGAAAATTAAATCACCGAGTGATGCCAGGACTGATTATTGTACTGTGCTTTAAAAGCAAGAGATTGCAGTCTGTGAGTCCAAAGTGGTTTCATATGGACTGCCACAGTTGTGGTTTATGCTTGAAACTATAACCTGTCAAATTAAAAGCAGGCAAGGCCTCTGCCCTTAATGGTTCCACTTTCTACTGCCTACAGTTATGTCTACAAGTTCAGCATTTTTTTATCCTGTTAAACTCTGTTCTTTGGATGAGCAGAATTTCAAACCCTCTTTGCTATCTTGGTTAGAGAGATTCCAGTTATGATAAGGCTAGATGAAACTGCCAGTATAATTTTTATTGCAAAAATGCTCACTTTCACTATTTTTATCTGTCATTGCTATTTTAGTACCCTAGCTGCTCTATGTAATATATATTATAACAACAGAAGAATACATACTTAAGTGCCCAATCCTTTTCTACCCAGTATTTCCAGATTTTTTTAGTGAATTTTACTTGTACCTTATTGACTCATCATTTTTCCAGACCCACAGTAGCCCTGCTATTATGAGCTTAGAGTTACAAAAGGCTCCATTTCTTTTCTTCTCCTTGATTGTGGAATGTCCTTCTGGGCAATGGGCTTGGTTGAAAGAGATTTTCTCATCAAAATTGGAAAGCTACTTGTTCAATTTTACTAATGTTTCATGTGGAGCCCTTTCTTAACAAACTTTTCTTAATTCCCATTTTTATGATAATGTTTTTAAAATAAAGCATAAACAATATTTGCTTTTTGTGTAATGTATCATAAGTGAAACCATGTCACTAAACAATCATATCCTGTTTAGGCCATAATGACATCAGAAATATATGTTTATCATCTGCTTTGGACATCTTAGCATGTTTTTGGCCCAAGGCAAATTTGAACTAAAACCATTTGCAGTTGCCCAAAACCAAGATAACCACACATTTCTAAGGTAATTGATACCTAAAAAGAATATTGCCTTTAGATCACAGTTCATGATCTAAGCATACTAATTCTTTAAAGAAGGTTGTTAAAAGTTTATAAAGCATGTATGTCTATTGGATTTCCTCCAAAATTTAACATGAAATAATTATATCTTAGCAAGACTAGAGACTATGATACAGTAGGTGCCTGGAATTACCACTATTGTCTAACTTAACTGAAAGAGGAAAAAAATGGTGATTTTTCTCCTTGAGCATGATAGTTACAAGAACAACAAGCATACAGCCTTGTGTTTTGGAAGACATTAAAATCAAATGAATCATTGCTTAAAAAAACATTTAAAGAAATACTAATTTTCTGTATAGATAGCTAAGGCAAGTTGAAGGCATGCGATTTTCATATTTACTGTTAAAACATTTCCAGGGAATCCAAATATGTAGCACAAACTTTATGTTACCATGATATATAGCATGTAATTGACTTGGATAGTACCTTAGCCAAGGAGTACTACTGTTAAGTTTGCAACTCCACTCTAAGAAATAGCTCTTTGCACTACATGCTAATATAAAATCAGTAAGAATTTGCTTTTTCCACAATGTACTATTTTGAACAAAAATAAGAAAATTACTTTAATTAAGAATGAAATAAAATTACTAAAAGTTCTAAGAGGAAATTTGGAAACCTACTTTCCTTCAGTGGAGGAAGTAGAAAATGGAATTTTTTAATTGAAGTCAACCCTGAAGGCAGAGCTTGACCCCTTCTCTGTGGTTTAACTCACTCTATTGTTCTGCTTTTGCTCATAATAATAACATGGACATTTCAGACAATACTTGAGAAACCCCAGAATAAAATAAAGTGGCATAGGCACTGCAATGGTAATTCTATTATTATTGTGGTTGTTTTTTTTTTTAAAAGAAGAACGTACTATACCTCCATTCTCTCTTGTTTAACTTCATCAATTTCATCGTCTTCAAGAACTGCCAAGAGTTCTCCTGTCTGGTCAATAGAGTTGAGAAAGTCTTGAGCAATTTTTTGTCTTTTGTTTGCATTGTTGCTGCCACCACTCATTTTGTCTTCACGAAGGTAAGGGAAGGGGGGAAAAAAAGGAAAGTTCTCAATATATTTACATCAGTAGCAGTCATTACCTGTCTAGAATACTTTACATGAACTTCAATATTGAATATTCTAAAGGCAATCTTTAAAAAGAGAATATATAAATCTTGTTATTTAAGAAAATGAAATTCTCAATTATCACAGTAAGTATGAATGGATTTTAGTCCTTTACAAAATAGTATGTGTGTACGGACTCTAAAATTTGGGAATGAGGGGAAATTCTATATGGTATTTAGAACAAGGATATCACTTTGACAATATAAAAAGGAGATGTATAATTAAGCAAAGAAAGCAGGCCCAGTAGCACTAATGTTAGAAGATATACTCCAAGATTTAAGCAATAGATGAGACAAAGGAGAATGTTATCTAATAATGAAAGATGTTATTTATAAGGAAAATTGGCAATCAATAAATTCATGCACCAGTGATAAGAGTAGAATGGATAATAGTAAATTTAGTTAAGAAACAATCCTTGCAAGATACTTGGATGTTTTCTACCAAAATTTTACAACTTACAGAAAGACTATAGAGAGTTAAAACAAAACACATAAGCTTTGTGATTTCTATACAAATATGAGTCACTCTTTGAACCATAAATAACTTTCCTTTAATATTTATCAATTTCTTTTAAGTTTGTATGTACTCACACAATATATATGTATATATATAGATATATACACAAGTATATATATTTGTATTTATACAAGTATATTTACACAAAATGACATAATATAAACTGACTTTCCCATCTTCTTTTCTTTTACATTATTATCCCCCAACTCTCAATATAACTCCTATCAGCCATGTAGAATTCATCTACCCATGATTTCTCCATGCTCATATAAAATCACAAACTCAATTATGCTGTTTTTTGTTATGTGTCAAGTCATCTGCAACTCACTGCAACCCTATGTACAATAGCTCTGAACCCTACTCTATCCTAAGCCAACCTCACTGTCTCTGACATACCTATCCTCATTACTGCAAGTCATTGAGTCAATCCATTTCATGGTGGGTCTTCCTCTCCTGTGTCCACCCTTTCAAACATGATGTCCCTCTCCAAGGACTGATCCCTCCTTGCAACTTGCCTTAGCATGTGAAACAGAGCTCCAGAATCCTTGCCTCTAAGGAGCAGCCTGGTTTCACCCTCTCCAGAACAAACCTGTTTGTTTTCACAAGTTGCTCTGCAAGAGGATGATGGGTAATCTTCTCCCATGAAATTAACTGCTTTTGATAAGCCACCGGAGGGTTGGCTATGGGTTGGTTCCAACTCCATGGTGTACAACAACAACAATGGAAAGAGTTGTTGGAGAGGCCTAATATCAGCAGTCAAAAGCAGGCCTGGTGCTGATGGTAGAATAAATTCATGTGTAAGGTCAAACTGAAATTTAAGAAAATTAAAGAATTCCACAAGAACCAAAATACAAACTTGAGTCAATCTCATTTTAACTTAAAAAATCACCTCAAAAGCAGGTTTCAGGCATTAAACACTTTGGACTGAAGACCATATGAACTGTGAGATGACATCAAAGTATAAACACGCTAGATCTTACTTATCTCAGTGAAAGAAAAGAATCCCTCCAAATCAAGCCGTAAAGTTCTAACTCACTCTTTACAAGGGCTGATAAATATTGAATGGGGTGTATGCACACAGCCTTCCAACCAATCTCTTATTGCAAGGCACACATTTTGGTTCTATTTTTCTGTCTCAAGGCAATGTTAAGTATTTCTTTTCATTCACAGTGTCTGTACCATAAGAAGGTTTAGGTTTTTTTGACATTGATCCTAGGAGTGGGACATCAAGAAGTCAAAACTCTTCACCACAGGATTGATAAGCAACATCATGATAGATGGGGAAATCCACAATCAACATTCTTGGTAGCAGCAGTCAGAAGATGGGAAGGCAAATTGTCAGTAGACTGTCAAGAACCTTTCAAAGTTACTGATGGGCTATGTTGTCAGTTTGAAGACTAAGGTATGTCTGATTCAAGCCATGGTCTAGTCACTCACTTGCTATGAATCTGAGAGCTGCACAATGACTAAGAATGACAGAAGAAGAATTGATGCTCTTTAGTTGTGGTGTTAGAAAAGAATATCCTACAGACTGTCCAAAGAACAAATAGATGTCTTGGGGAAAGTGCAGTCATAGTACGCCTTAGAGGCAAGGATCGTGAAACTTCATCTTGCATATTTTGGGCTTATTATTATAAGAGGCTATTCCTTGGAAAGAGGCATCATGCTTGGAAAAGTGGAAAGTCTGCAAAGGAGAGAAACAATGTCCATGAGATGAACTGGCACAGTGACTGTAGCAATGTTCTCCAGTGTATCAGAGATGACAAGGATGGTACAGGAAAGAAGAGGATTCAAATCTGTTGCTTATAGGGTCATCATGAGTCATGTTCAACTCAATGACACCTAACAACAACATAAGATTACCATTCAAGGCATTCAAACCTCATATTCCAGCAGCAATGAGAACTGCTTTTTCCATACATGGGAAAAATGTGATGGGCATAAATGACAGAAATGTTTACTTTTTTAAAACTATGTAGTAATGAATGTACATGTTTGCCAACGAAATAAAACATTTTATTGATTTTAGGGCATCTTTGCAAAACTTTTTATCATCAAAAAGGTTTATTTTTCCTATATTACTTATTTGAGATGACTTTGCTCCATTCTCTTCAGAATCAACACATAATGTCCCGGACTATCTTTTCAGACTATTTTGGTAAAATTGTCTTAATTACATAGCACTTAAAATTGATTTTACACATAATTGCCAATGACAGAATCTTGGCTGTAAGTAAAGAGTACATGTGGAATATCTATCTGTGCTTCATTGACTATGCAAAGGCATTGGACCGTGTAGATTACAAAAAATTGTAGCTAAGCTTGAGAAGAATGGAAATCCCAGGATATTTGATTGTGTTCATGCAAGAACTATACTTGGACCAGGAGGCAGTCATCAGAACAGAGCAAGGAAAACACTTTGTGGTTCAAATTTATGAAAGAAGTGTGTCTAGGATGTGTCCTTTCTCCATAACTTATCAGTCTCTATGTGGAAAAGATCATTCAAGTGGCCAGACTTTAAGAAGAAGAGGAGAAGTGTGGCATCAGGATTGGAGGAAGATTCATCAACAACCTGCATTAGGCAGATGATACAAACTTGAGGAGGTGATACAAACTGAGGAAAACCTGGCACATTTGTCAAGAACTGTAGTCTTCAATATGAATTGAAGCTTAAAAACAAGAAGACAAAGATTCTCACCAGGGGGCCAAATGGCAGCACCATGACAGCTGGGGAAGAGATTGAGGTTGTTAACAATTTCAGCTTGTTCAGCTCTACAGTCAACACTCTCAGCACAGCCAGGAAATCAAAAGATCAACTGCACTGTGGAAGTCTGCTGTCAGGGACCTCACCAGAGTGCTGAGGAGGAATGGTGTCAGTCTAGAGACTAAGGTGAGCCTGATCGACACCATGGTCTTCACAATTTCATGCTATGCATCAGAGAGCTGGACTATGACTAAGGATGACATAAGCACTGATGTCTTTGACTTGTGGTGCTGGAGAAGAGTACTGATCATACATACATACCATGGGCCACCAGGAGAACAGATAGGTCTGTCTCGGAAAGTGTGAAACCAAGTTTCTCCTTGGAGCCAAGGATTTTGAATCTCAGTCTCAAGTACTTTGGGCACATGGCCAGAAGGTATCAGTCCTTAGAGAAGGATTTACATGATAATTCGGGCAGTAGGTGTGTCAGAGTCAGTGAGACTGGCTCAGGATAGGGCAGACTACAGAGCTGTTTTCCATAGGGTTGCTGAGTTGCAGGTAACTTGATGACACATAACAATAACACTGTATGTTTTATAGGAATCTCTGGCACTTTAGTGGTAAAGAACTATGCCACCAATCCAAAGGTATGTTTAAATCCATTAGCTGCTTTTGAAGACAAAGACAGGCAATCTTTTCCCATGCAATTTACTGCCTCTGAAAACCTGCTGGAGTATGAGTCTGTTCCAACTCCACAGTATTCAGCAAGAACAAAAAATTCAAAGGTTTACTTTAATTTTCTTCTAATAGATAGAGGTTCACTTATTATTATGGATACAAATAGAGTTGTACAGATACAATAGGATTGAATTTTTGTGATAACTTACATCCAGATATATAAATTCTCTCCTCTTCTCTGTGCCCCCTAATCTATCAAGACTTTATTTCTGGATGTTATCATTCTTTATTCCTTTATTTATTAACTACAATATAAAATCTTAAGTTGTATACTATATTCAATTTTTTTTATTTTTTATAGTTCCTTTCATAACTACATATATACTTGTCATAGAAATGTTAAGATCTTTTTATATAATTCCAAGAGAACATTACGGTGATTATACCTAGAACCACATTAATTTATCTACTAATTTAGGGAGCTCTGCTGGCCTACTAACAAGAAGCTACACTGCAATCTCCAAGGCATGTGTTTCGAATCCACCAACTGCTCCTCAGGAGAAGGAAGGGCAGTCTCCTCCTATGTGATTAACTGCCTGTAAAAACCCATCAGAGTGTCAGCTCTGGGTTGGCTCTGGCTCAACTCTGGGTTGCATCTGACTCGACTGTACATAACAACAACAACTTTAGGTTGTATGTATACATGTATATATAAAATGGTCACTATCACTGACATACTTGAGCCTACTGCTACTGCTACAATCACCATGTCAATCCATCTCCTTGAAAGGTCTTCCTCTCCTCCTCTGACCTTGCACCTTTCCAAGCACTATGCAGTTTCCAAGGACTTACATCCCTGACAACATGCTCAAAGTGGATGAGACTGGAAACAAGCATGGATCTCTTCCAATCATGTGGTTAGGCAGTTTTCTTCCAAATTTCTTAGTATGTACTAGTGAACACGTCCTGGGGATCTTTATGTGTTGAAATAGGTCAATTGGTATT